AAAAATAAACTTTCATATCCATATTTGGTAGAACTGTTAACCTAGAAATGTAGCTTGCTAATAAGGTAGAATGATACAAAAGTGAAGTTGTAGCCACAGTACAACACTGACTGATGCGACATATTTAGGTTCAGGGTGGACCTTTTTGTCTTGTTAAGATGTCTAGGCCCGTGATAATAGTTAATTTATAACAGAGTGTGGAATAGTTCTTTTGTTAACCCCACTGTCTTGGGGAATGATGCCAACTGGGTTAAGTGGGATTTGGGGGAAGATTGAGTTTTTGACTGAAACATGGAGCCTTCACTGCTTTTATCTGGTTTCTTTGAAGATTTGGAACATATAAACATCAGAAGAACTCACCTTAAAATTTAAGCAGGTCAATGATGGCAGAAATAATTTTAAGGGGGAAAAAATGCTCTCATGTAGTTACTCTCAACTTTAAGGAGCATTGTTGGTCATATTGCTTAGTTTTCTTACTGCTGTTAAAAAGCAGCAAGTAAATTGTTTCAGAGTAGATTTTGTTTATGCATATGCATAGTGTAAAAGAACTGAATTTTGATGCTTGTAGCGCTCGGTTTGTGCATTTGTATCAAAATTTGCCTACCACTTTATGAAGGAGGCTTGTTCTTCACACCTCAGCTTATTTCATGTGAGGCAAGTTGAAAGAGAACACTCCCAATTCTAGGTGATTCTGTGGTGCCATGAAATTTAAAATATTTTGGAAAAAGAATTAATTAAGAGTCACATCTCCGAGTTTGATTATCAATGTATAGTACCTGGCAGTACCTGACTAAAAAAGAAAACAAGACCCTAACCATTTATAATTTCTAGCATTTCTCTGAGAGATCGTTTGGGGGGAGCAATAAAAGGGAAATGTCCAATCTCATTTCAGAATAAAAGCTAGCATCTTTAAAATTTTTAGATTGCTTGCTTGCAGGTATAAGTAAGAAATATTGTGGGGAAACGATTCCTTTTAGAGGATTACTTTTTTTCAATTTTGGTTTTAGTAGGCCTTGCCTGTAAAGAACAAAAGATGGTTTTTAAATACTGTTTGTGGAATGTGTTTAAAGGATTGATTCTAGAACCTTTGTATATTTGATAGTATTTCTAACTTCCATTTCTTTACTGTTTGCAGTTCATGTTCATATTCTGCTATGCAATCATTTATATGCACGTTTCTTTAATTTTTTAGATTTTCCTGGATGTATAGTTTAAACAACAAAAAGTCTATTTAAAACCGTAGCAGTAGTTTGCAGTTCTAGCAAAGAGGAAAGTTGTGGGGTTAAACTTTGTATTTTCTTTCTTATAGAAGCTTCTAAAAAGGTATTTTTATATGTTCTTTTTAACAAATATTGTGTACAACCTTTAAAACATCAATGTTTGGATCAAAACAAGACCCAACTTATTTTCTGCTTGCTGTAAATTAAGCAAACATGCTATAATATAATAAAAACAAAATGAAGGAAAAAAAATCAGAAATCAATAACAGAAATCTTGGGAAAACTCTAAAATGTTTAGAAACTAACTATTAAATAGGCCATGGGATAAAGATAAAAGGGAAATGAATCATTTGAACTAAATGAAGATGAAAACACAGAATATCAAAATTTTCAAGATTCCACTAAAGCAGTGCCTATAAGTTCTGAAATTAATACTGTCACCTTAAGAAACTGGGGAAGAAGAGCAAATAAAATCCACAGTAAACAGAAGAAAGGAAATAACAGATCATAGCAGCAGTCAGTGAACTAGAAAACAGAAAAACAGGGACTCTAAGAAGAAATCAGTAGAATTGATAAGCCTCTGGCCAAACTGATGAGAAGGAAAAGAGAGAAGGCACAAATTAGCAATATCAAAAATGAGAGCAATGACATCACTACAGATTATGAGGATAATAAGTGAATATTTTGAACAATTCTATGGCAACTAATATGAAATGGACAACTCCATGAAAGACCCTAATGACCAAAGCGCATTCAAGAAGAAAAGATAAACAGCCCTGTATCTCTCAGGAAAAGTGCATTTGTAGTGTAAAACCTTTCAAAAAAAAGAAACCTCAAGGCAGATGGTTTCTGTTGAGTTCTATCAAACATTTAAGGAAGAAATATACAAATGCCAGAAAATTGAAAAGGCAGGAATACTTCCCATTTCATCCTGTAAAGCCAGCAACATCCTGATACCAAAACTAGACAAAAACATTAGAAAACAGAAAACTATAGACCAGAATCCCTCTTGAACAAAAATGTAAAAATTCTAAAGAAAATTTTAGCAAATCATACCCAACAATATATAAGAAGGATAATTCATCATGACCAGGTGGTGTTGATCCCAGGAAAGCAAGGCTGTTTTAACACTAAGAAATTAATCGATGTAATTTACCATATTGACAAATCAAAAGAAAAGGAAAACAATACATCTCAGTAGATGGAGGAAAAAACACTTGCCAAAATCCAACATCTCCTCCTGATTTTAAAACTTTTTGCAAACTAGGCATAAAAGGTAACTTCCTTAAACTGACAAGGGGCATCAATGGAAACTAGCAGCTGTACCGTCATACTAAGTGGTGAAAGATTAGAGGCTTTTTAAGATTAGGAACAATACAAGGATTTGTGCTCTGATGACTTTTATTTCCACTTTGTACTACAAGTTCTAACCAGCACAACAAAGAATAAAGAAAATAAACAGGGACGCCTGGGTGGCTCAGTCAGTTAAGCGTCTGTCTGCCTTTGGTTCAGGTCATGATCCCAGGGTCCTGGGTTTGAGCCCTGCATTGGGCTCCCTGCTCAGCTGGGAGTCTCCTTCTCCCTCTGCCTCTGCCACTCCCCCTGCTTGTGCTCTCGCTCTCTTTCTCTCTCTGTCAAATAAATAAAATCTTAAAAATACATATATCAAATTGTACTTTAAATATATACAGTTTAAGTCAATTCTATTTCCACAGGCTAAAGATACATATATGGTAGAGGGGACCTTTCTCTTAACCTTTCTCACAGGTTAAGAAAAACTTGATGGGAACAGCAACCAAATGCAATGTTTGGACTTTGTATCCTGAGCCAAACAAGCCAACTGTATAAAAAGACATCGTGGGGGCCCATGGGTGGCCCAACTGGTTAAGCGGCGAACTCTCGATTTCGGCCCAGGTCATGATCTCAGGGTCATGAGATCAAGTTGGGCTCCACACTCGGCAGGGGTGTGGGGGTCTTTCTCTCTCTCTCTCCCTCTGCCCCCCCACTCGTACATGTGCAAGCTTGCACACTCAACTAAATCTTTTTTAAATAATAGACATTTTCAAGAGAAATGGGGAAATTATAGTATAGTCTGAGTATTTGATAGGGTTGATTATTGTTAATTTTGTTAGATGAGAGAGTGGCAGCAAACAAAAGCCCCTATCTGTAAGACATAGTGACAGTTTTATGGGTGAACTGCTTTGTCATATGCTTTGAAGTCCTCTAGCACAGTAAAGAGGCGGGGACAGATGGAAAATATTAGTAAACTATTGATGATCGAAGGTGGATGATGGATAGATAACATGGAGGTTCATGAACTTATTTTCTTTTGTGTATTTTTAAATTCCCCCTAGAATTTTTATGTTTCTATGATTTTTTTTAATCCTCAGGATATAAAATCCAAGGTCTCCCCTTCTCTTAGCCCCCACTGCCCCCCCTCTGGCTCACCATCTGCCTCTTCCCACAGTTCAAGATTCGCTGTGTGTAGAGTGACCACCTATCCCAGTGTGCCTGTTTGCACCCACTGTCCCGTGTAATTACTGATAGGGCCCTCTGACTCTCAGAACTTTCTGTTTTGCATGATCAAATGTATGCTCGTCCTAGCAGTATCGAATAATTTCCTTCATAGTCCTGTGCTTCACACGTATTTATCTTTAATGGATTTCCTTTGTCCAGAAGTCCCCCCTCCTGCCCCCTGTGCTTTTCCTGATCGGATTCCTTCCCACTGGTGTTCCACATCTCAGCTCAGACATCCTCTCCCCAAGCCTTCCTGATGTTCCTCCTCTGCCCCGCCCCCCATCCCCCGCCCGAGTTGGGTTGCCCCCCTGTGCCGCCACACCACCCAGGCATGCTCTGCTGTACAACACTCAGTCACAGTGTGTTTACTGGGGGCCTGGGTGGGTCAGTGGGTTAAGCATCTGCCTTTGGCTCAGGTCCTGATCTCAGGGTCCTGGGATCGAGCCCTGTGTCGGGCTCCCTGCTCAGCAGGAGTCAGCTTTCCCCCCCTCACTCTCCCTCTGTGTGCGCACTCTCCCTCTCTCTCTCTCTCTCAAATAAATAAATAAAATCTTTTTAAAAAAATAAAATGTGTCTACTGGTCTGTTCCCCAATTCAGTTGGCTTTTCAAGATTTGGGGGCACTTTTTCACCTGTGAGTCTTTGGTGTCTAGCAGTGTCTGCCAAAATGTGGATCAAGTCTTTGAGATTCTGTGACTTAACCCCTTCACACAGCTCACCCCTGGAAAGATAAATGCACCTCCCTAAGCTCACGGAGCATTGTAGCGGCAGAGACGGAAGGACAGCTGTGACCGCCTCTCTACTGCTACACTTGGCACCGTGATGAGCGATCTTGGGGGCGCTGGAGGTTCCTTTTCCTAAGACAGAGCTTATCCTTCTGATTGTCCCCAGAGTTATTAGTGCAGTGGTTGTGGCTCTGACAGGTGCAAGAAGTAGATTTCAATAATTCTGTGGTATTTCAAAGGTTTAATAAATACAGGAACGCAGCAGTGGTTATGACACCTGGTGGGGTTTTTTTTTCCACTATATATACTTTTTAATTATTCAACCAGAATAATTCAGTAATTCAATTCAGAAGGCTGAATCTATGGAAAAACTGCTAGTTTTTCTCATTTTTTAATCGCTTTGTTAGAATCCTTTCCTATGGTACAACGTGGAGAATGTTGTGGGATAACAGGGGCTCTGTACATTTAATGATTTTAAAATAAAGGACGTCATCCAGAGATCTTGCATTAATGTCTGTTTTTCTTTGTAATTGTCATAGCGTCGTCTTGGAGATGCCGCCAAGAAAGCCATCAGCAAACTGACCACCAGAACAGTAAAAAAGGGTGATAAGGTATAGTAGTGAAATAACTTTAACACTATAAAAATGATAAAGTAGTTTTGCTTTTGATTTGGTGGGAGAGAACACACCCTAATCGTTTGTGTCTCATGTTAGGTTGTTCTTTTTCTCCAGGTATATGATCTAACGCTTCATTTTAAACCAGCCTCCCTTTGAACTCTTACCCTTAGCATGCCTCATTTGGAGGCCTTCCATAGAGTTTCTGACTTTCCTGGACTTCCAGGCCTCCTGCCATTATTAGCTATACTGGTCTACTTACAGTTCCTCTAGCTGTGGTGTCCCACTCCAGAGCTTTCTCCCTTTGCAGCCAAAGTTGCCTTTGGGCAGAACCCTAATGGGTCAGTTGGTGCACTCGGTGGCCAGGAATATATGTTCTCTTCCCTGTGCTTCCTTTGTGTTTTAGTCCCTCGCCAGTTCGCCAGAGAGCAGGAGACGCACATCTCGAGAGAGTGTCGTTCACAAGGTGCTTTCTGGCCAGTGGGCCAGACAGTTGGAAGGAAGCTCCCAGTGTGTCAGGGTTGGGCCCTTGGCTTGTGGGGACCAAGTGAGAAAGCCAGTGACTGAGGCTGTGGCTGAGACGGCTCATCAGAGCTCCCCGGTTGGGCCTCGTGTTATGTGGAACCCGCTTCTGCTCCGTAAGGACAAAACAGCAGCTTAATGTTCCACCCTACATTCCATATATTCAGTTATCTAGAGGGGAAAAGTTGCACCTCTAAAGGCATAAACCCAAAGCTGTGTTCTACCCCACATCCAGCTCTCACATTTTGACAAGCAGTTCTGGGAGGGTAATTTCAGACAATTCTCCAGCCTCTGTAGTTTCACCACTTCCTTGACGTCACCCGTTTTTATTCCCACTGCCTTGACACAGCTCTGGAAGGTGGAGACATTTTCAGCGAACTTCAGTGAACACTAAGCAAAGAAACAAGTAAAAACATTTGGAGAAAATAAAAGCAGCATCAGGAAAGCTGCCCCATAGCCCCAGAGAAGTGGTCACCCTCTTGGCCTGGTGGCCTTCAGCTGCCACATTAATTGGAAATTCCCCAGAATTTTTACCCATTCTACATTGTCCTTCAGGCTAACACCGAACAATCTTTCCTTATTCGAACCAACACCTCTTCCAAATTCGTGCCTCCTGGACCTACCCAGAGTTGTCCCACTGAGTTTCAGTCCACGTGGCCATGACATAGCAGATAGTCTCCCCTTTCCTGGCTTAGGTTCCTGGTAATGCTCTATTTTGTGACAACCCAGGGGAGTCCCTTCCCGGCACAGACAAGGAAGGAAGCCAGTTAACCTGGATGACCGAACACCTGGCTTACTCTTCCTGGCTCTTCATAAAGACCCAGTATTGAGTTGGGCCATGACTGTTCTCTACCCCAAACCTGTGACCAGCGCCCGTCACTGGGGCTTGGTCTTTTGGGGGCTCACCATCTTTTCTACCTGTGCTTAGATGAGTGATCAGAGGACGACCCACACTGTGGAGGGTGTGATGTGAAGCCCGCTGAACCAGAATAGTGGTGCCGCAGTGGTGGGAGGGGGAGGAGGGTGTCCACGATGACCGTGGATTTGAATCTTGAAAAACAAGTAAGAATTCTGACTTCTAAGACATTTCACAAACAGAATTAGTACTAACTGTTACAGCATAGTTTAAAAACGAGATAGAGTGGTTTCGATACCACTTGGGTCAGTGCAGGTAAGCAAATGAAAACATATCAAAACTCTGCGCAACTGTTCACTTCATAGCCGCTTGCTTACCATCCTTGCCACGGGAAGATGCCTAGCTGGATTGCCTCCTCCGTTTATGTGTAGCTTCGGTTTGAGCACGTGACTCTCATGCCTATGCTTTCCTTGCAGGAAACAGACCCCGACTTCGATCATTGCGCAGTCTGCATCGAGAGCTACAAGCAGAACGATGTGGTGCGGATTCTCCCCTGCAAGTATGTCAGGCTCCTTTGTCTAAAACAGAATGATGCTCCTCTGGTGTGTGTGTCTCCCCTTCAGAGGGGGGATCCCACTTGCCTTCGGGAGCCGCCTCACCCATGGCTCTGGCGGCAGGCGGAGGCGTGGCGGCCCGTTACCCGCGGTGGGAGTGGCGGCTGGCACGAGCCCGCCTCGGCACAAACTGACTGCAGAGCCTCCTCTGCTTATGAGAAACATGGGGAAAAACCCTGGGGTACATCGTAGCCTAAGACCATTATGGGCAGGAATGTTCAATTCTGTGAGAGGGCAAGTAAAGGACGCTGGGGTTGCTCACTCCAAAAGTGGCAGAGTCGAAGTAAAGGTCCACCTCTACTCCTTCTTGTATTGGGCCCCGCTCACCTGCATGTGGTGCTCTAGAAAGAGCAAATGTTCTTTAGAAACATGCTGATTGGAAAAATACGAAATCGCGTGCTGAGAAGCCTAAAAATCAAAGACTTTTCCTCTTCTTTCTCCCCTCCCTTAAAACACATGCACAGCACTCTGACCATCTAGTAACACAGAACATGTGAACAAATAAAATAATTGTCAGTGGTTGTCTCCCTGTGGAGACAGGGAATAAAATGGCTACCAGTACCATTTTATTCTCAAAGTCATCTGTTTTGAACCTAGAAAGACCTGTGAGTGGTTTTCTTTTTCTTTAATCATAGAACCTAAGAATAATTCCATATGCTGAAACAGAAAACCAGATTCTAGAAGTCAAGTCAATCTAGTTTATATATAAAGGAAAATCTACAAAACTACCGGGAAGCTGTCCTGTAGAAAATTGTGTAATTACCAGATTTCCTTCAGCTGCCGTCATGTGTTGTTTAAAACATGAGGCTGAAGGAGATACACATCCAAACACAAACCAGGAAGATCAGTAGGTACATTATAAAGCATTATCCACCCTTAGCTGCTTTTTAAACATGTGTTGACCTGCACAGATCTCCTCGGACACCGGAATCACCAGGAAGAAGCCAAGTCTTTCCAAATTCTGTCTCCTATTTCAGGCCAGGGGCCCCCTCCAGAGGAACCATCTGGACCCAAGAACAAAGGCCTCTGAAACCATTCGTGGTTGTTGGTAACGAGAGAGTGTCTTCCTCAGGGGAGCCTCGGCCAAAAATAGACTACTCTGGAAGCTTGCTCCCCGTCCTCCCTGCCCCCTGAGCATTTCAAAGGCTATTCCAAAGTTTCATTCTTAGTCCTCTTTTTTTCTTAACTTAGTCCAGTGTTTTCCAAACCGGACGGTGTGTCGGAATCAGTGGGGGGTGTTCAGAAACACATCCCAGAGCCCGGGCATGTGGCTTTTAATAGTCACCTGAGCAGCGCTGCAACGGCATGCCCCTCCGTCGGAGTCCTCGCCTTCCTGGGGCTGCGCCTGTGTCCGCGGTCTGCTTTTGGATATTAGAATTTTGGCAAACTTAACGACATTTCTCTGTGCCCGCGGTTAGGGCACTGCGCCCTCAGTTGGTTGTGTTCCGTTGCCGGGTCCCTGTCTGACTCTATGTTAGAGTCCCCCTTCTGCTCTGGAGCAGGGTGCTGTCTGGTACACGTACGCCGTAAGCCTCAGCAAGTTGTAGCTTATGCTGAGGTGTCCCACACACCCTGCTCAGCAAAACCATTCATCTCACTGAAATGGTACCAACCGCGCGATTCTCAGGTATAGTAAAAATTAATTTTGCCCATTGAGCAACGTTCTGTGGGACTGGAAGCAACAACTTTTCACCTAGAACAAGGTTTCTGAGCCTTGATACTGTTGACGTTTGGGACCAGATAATCCTTTGTGGGGGGGCCGGGAGCGGGGCGGCTGTCCTGGGCATTACAGGATCTTTAGCAGTGTCCCTGGCCACATCCACGAGATGCCCGTAGCAGCCCAGCCCCACACACAGTTGTGACGACCACTGACCTGGAGGATGGCCTCGCCCAGATCTCCATCTTCACTTGAGATCTTCCGCACGCCTCTGGTTTCCGCGGGACCCCTCTAGGATACTTCCAAATGAATTCTGGCCTTGGGCTGCTACCTCCTTTCTTCCCTGGGACACCCTGCCCTTCCTCTTTTGTCTGGAGGGCTTTGAAACCGAGCAGAGGGGTGACTCCGCTACCTCTCCCTTGAGCTCTCGTGCCCAACAGTGCCAGAGCCTCCCTGCCTCCCGGGGGACTCCTGGCGGCCCTTCAGCCGCGGCTGGAGTGCTGCCCAGAGCCCGTCTCTTTCCCTGGTTCGCTCTCCTTTAAACACCTTAGCTCATCTCTTTGTTCCTCACTCTGGCTGGATAGCTTCCCCAGCTGCTTCACGGAGAAAGTCATGGTTGTTTGACCCTGAAATTCCCTCCGCTTCCCGGCCCTGAGCTTTCGGATGCACCTGCCTCCCCACCCCCAGCCTTGCAGCATCCCCCACCCCTTATTGGGAGGGAGGAGGGCTCCCTTTGTTCTGATGTGTTCTTTCCACCTCGGCCTCCACATGCCAGTCCCGTCCTCTTCTCAGGGACCTCGCTCTGTTGACTCTCTGCTCCTGCCAGTTTTTGTTCCTTCTGTGTCTGACATTTTGTCATACTCAAGCCCGTCCTATGCCAGTTTCATAAGCCATCGCCAAACACCGCCCTGTGGCTCCTCCCTTCACAGCCAGACTTGGGGAAGGAGCTGTGCTCGCTGTCCCTTCTTCACCTGAGTGAGGGACCAAGGAAAGCCCAGGTGCCTTTGTTTCTGTCTGTCCTTAACTTTGAACAAGCCTATCTAGAGACTGAACTGAGACTTTCTATCTATAGAGAGCAGAGTTCATAGATTGCTGCCTTTTTGCTGCATGACCTTTCCTTTTCCTCTTAATTTACTGTGGACACATGGCACTTGGCATCGCTTGGGGCCTCCTCCTTGTGCCTTTGATGACAGCTGATCATCCCTGGACATTAGCCAGCACGTCCTAGAAGCTATCACCTTATTTAGACAAAGGTCAGCCACAGCATTTTTTTTTTTTTTTTTTTAGGAGTTAAAAATACTTTTCAGGGGGCGCCTGGGCGGCTCAGTTGGCTAAGCGTCTGCCTTCGGCTCAGGTCATGATCTCCGGGTCCTGGGATCGAGCCCCACGTCAGGCTCCCTGCTCAGCGGGGAGCCTGCTTCTCCCTCTCCCTCTGCTGCTCCCCCTGTTTGTGCTTTCTCTCTGTGTCAAATAAGTAAATAAAATCTTTAAAAAAACAGAAAAAGTACTTTTCAGAAGTAGAGTGCCACCATTCAGATCAGCGTGTGTCCAGGGTGCCACTTTGGGAGCCTAAGAGGGGTCCATCCTGTGGCCGCTGCTAGAGGCGTCACTGGGGTGCCCCCGCCTCGAGGGAGCTAGTCAGAGGTCACTGGTGCTGGGACTTCCGGCGCCGGAGGCCTGCACGCACGTTCTGACCATTTATTGGGATAGTGTGGGAAACGTTAACGTTACTTGGCCTGGGTGTGTGTTTAATAGTACCTTGCATTTGTGTGCTGTCGAGGGCTGCAGGAACCGGGCTGTCGGGGAATCTGTCAAAGGAGGGAGGGGGCAGGTGGCTGACTGGGGTGGGCGTCAGTAGGAGAGCCATGGCGTGGACACAGTCAAAAGGAAAAGATTTTTTGTTTTAAGAAAAAAAACTTACTCAGATTTTGAGCTAGCTAGGGAAGGGAGACATTCTTGGTTTGACCCTGAAGACCTGGTTTGTCTGTTGTCCATTACAGTACCGCAAGGGGGGGCGGTGTGGAGGGACTGTCTTTCACATCGACAAACCTCTAAGGGAGCAGTTTGGAAGCCCAACATAGGAAAAATCCACCCTATGCTAACCAGACCCTCAGAGCTCTGCGGGCCAGAGGTTAGGCAGATGTACCCTTGTAAAGGGGGGGTGGGGATCCTGTTAGTCAACCTATAGGGGTCCACCTCCCCAGAAAGAGTAGAAGCCTTGTGCTAGCCTTGGCCAGACTACAGTGAGCACTGGCACAGTTGACAGCTGCTGGGGTGTAGACCCTGGCTCTGAAGGCGCCCGCCCAGTGGGCCCTGTAGGCAGGATCCCTTCCCCTGCCCCCCTTGGATCACTCTCCTACGAGGATACGGGAACAAGAAGCGGACGTGCCTTGTGTGTACTAAATGAATTTCGGGCTCACCTACGGTTTGGTGACTTTTGCCCCTTAAGTAAAAACCTGCAGGTTTAAATACAACAAGCCTTCCGGGATGAAGAGGTTCTAGTTGACTGCACTGATAAATTCATTCTTCGAGATCTTTATTCTTACCCAAAGAGATGAGCGCAGGGTCACCAAGCAGCAGTAGGTAGGTGCATATGCATTGTTGAGGTTGAAGCTGTAAGCCTGCATGCTTCTTCCGAACCCCAGTTAAAGCAGCGAGATGTTTAGATCTACTTTTTTGGATCAAAACTGCATTTTTTTTTATTTAAAGATTTTTATTTATTTATTTGAAAGAGAGAGAATGAGAGACAGAGAGCACGAGAGGGAAGAGGGTCAGAGGGAGAAGCAGACTCCCCACTGAGCAGGGAGCCCGATGTGGGACTCGATCCCGGGACTCCAGGATCATGACCTGAGCCGAAGGCAGTTGCTTAACCAACTGAGCCACCCAGGTGCCCTCAAAACTGCATTTTTAAACAGCTGTATATAACTATTTATAAGCCACATGTAAATTATAAATTCATAAAGTTGCAAAGGCATACCGTGTTTCAATTTTATATCTTTCTTAAAATTTCTTTTATCGATAACCGAGACTCCAAGCATAGTTCCTCTCAGGTGCCCAGATTGTGTGTCCTGGCACCCGCCTCTCTCCCTCTCTGACCAGGACTCTGGGGCTTCATTTTTAGCCTCCACCACAGCCCCCTCAAAGTCTCTCCCTTCCACAAGGCACAGGTCCCTTTTCTAAGAATGCAAGACTCTCCATGACTGACTTCTTTTCTGTCGCAAGGATGTGACTTTCCACTCTCCTGAATAAAAAAAAAAATCACCCATCCTTTCTCTCTCCCCTTCACATTTCCACTCAAAACTGTTGGCTCAGTGTCACCTCACTCCTTAGGTACCTTTCATCTCCAAAATACTCCAAACCACCCTGTAACTTTCACAGACATTTAACATAGATTACTTAGAAGTCTTTTTAAATAATGTTCTAAATGACATTGAAACCAAGTTCCGTGAAACCAACTCATGGTTGTGCAGAAAACTCTTTTCATTCAACCCTTGCTTCGTATCTTCTTGAATTTCCCTTCTTCCTACTCGAGCTGTCGTAGAAAGCATAACTGATTGATAAGGTGTAATTTGTTTCCTGGGCATTCAGGTCATGGTCCCAGAGTCTGAGTCCCGCATCGGGCTCTCTGCTCAGCAGGGAGCCTGCTTCTCCCTCTCCCTCTGCCTGCCGCTCTGCCTACTTGTGTGCACTCTCTCTTTGTCAAATAAATAAAATGTTTAATAAAAAAAAGGTATAGTTTGTTTCATTCTTAATAAATATCCTAAGTTTCTTCAATTGCTGAAATAAAAAGACCCAACTGCCAAATACCACTTATCAGTTCTCATCATACAGATTGGGGTCAGGAGGTTTTCTGCCAGCTATATTTTACTACATCCCCAATATTTGTCTCTTGGAACTTGCCAGAATGTCCAAAAAGGGGGAGAAACAGACTAACTAAAAATTCCATTTCTTTGGATCTAATAGTTGTTCAGTATCTGATCTGTGATACAGTGCTCTGTGTTGTTTTTTTTTATAGGCATGTTTTCCACAAGTCCTGCGTGGATCCCTGGCTTAGTGAACATTGTACCTGTCCAATGTGCAAACTTAATATTTTGAAGGCCCTGGGAATTGTGGTATGTTTCCTGTATGGTCACTACTTTTTGCATGTGAGCTAGCATCGCACAGGTGGGTGGTTAAGTCTCCCGAGAGAGCGCAGGCTTTCTCTGCCACATGGCCTTTCTTCCACATTCCTTAGACTCCAGCCCGTCTTGGGGAACTCCCAGAAGAGAAGATAAAGAACTGAACTAGTCCACTCAAAAGTGTGCTTCCATTGGGTGGTGGAAATACGAAGAATGGCAGTGGAGAGAGGGACGGGCTTTGCTTTCACTCCGGTATTATCTGTTTTTTTTTTTAAGGACTAGAAATACAGATTTTTTTTTTTTAAGATTTTATTTATTTATTTGACAGAGACACAGCGAGAGAGGGAACACAGGGGGAGTGGGAGAGGGAGAAGCAGACTTCCCGCCAAGCAGGGAGCCCGATGCGGGGCTCCATCCCAAGACCCTGGGATCATGATCCTAGCCGAAGGCAGACACTTAACAACTGAGCCACCCAGGCGCCCCTAGAAATACAGATTTTTTTACTTTGGTCCAGTAGTAAGTTTTTTCTGCATTCAGCATCCTATGAAACTATGTCATCACTGTGTTCCTTTCTCTTGAACCTGGCTTAGCTCCCCGGGGCGTTGGTCAGCTGCAGGCAGCGAAGGTGGGCAGTACCAGCCTGCTGGGGCTTTGGTCCGAGGCCACACCGAGGACACAGTGCTTCATTCAGCTCTGGCCAGGCCAGTCAGCACTGACTGACCGAGGGCCTTGGAGACTTCCTACAGGTCTCCCTTAAGAGACCTACCTGTCCAAAATTAACACCTCTTAGAGAAAAATAAAATACTTTCTGATCTCAAGAAAGGGTGGATGAATGATTTCCTTGTGGAACCAGAAGTTTAGTGTGTCCAGCAGATGAACTGCTCCTTTTAGCTTTGCAACCCAAAGCATGTCTAAGGTGTCCTGTTTGAAATGTGCTGCTGTCAGCTGACAAATGAGCGGTCCCAGGTGGCTCCTCCCGGCTCCGGAGATCACGTCAGTGTCACAGTTGAACATAGGGTCACTCCACCTCAACCCCACTGACACTGTGGACCAGATAATTCCATCGGGGGTGGGGGTGGGGGGCCGTCTTATGCCCTGCAGAGTGTCTCCCGCATCCCTGGCTGCTCCTGAAGGCTAGTAGCATGATTCACCAGGTGCAAGGTCAGAATGTCTCCAGATGTTGCCAAATGTCCCTTGGGGAACTGTCACCCCCGTGGGAAGGGTTTACCATAGAGTGTCTGCCATGATGTCGGGCGTGTGGCAGACGCTTCCGGAAGTATTACCTTGTGTTGCCTCCAGCCTTGGTGGTAGTTTGGTTTGTTTGCCTTAAGTCCAGTCTTGGAAGTGCAGACACTTCTCCCTTTTATTTGTAAAGAACATCCTTCTAGAGTCTATTACAAGCTACCATGGTTTTAAATACAAAAACCATAGTAAAGCTCTTCTGCCAGGGTACCGTTCTAAGCATTTTACTTTGGCTGTGGGGTGATCTAGAGCAGTTCTTCCACCAGGAGGCCGTCGTTGTGGGTCGGGTTGGCTGTCACTCCTCCATACTTGTGCCTCTGCCCATCCTCCTTCCCAGCTCTGCTTCCAGCACTCCGTCTGCCAGACCTGAAGGTTCTAGGGAAACCAGATAACTGTCTTGTTACCCCAGGAGACTTTTCCACCCATTTTTTAGTTGGTAGGCTTTGGCCTCAGAGCAGCTCTCTACCTCCTTCAGGGCTAGATGCTTAGATTTTGAAACCCATGGTTTACTCAAAGCTCAAAGGTCTTTTCAACGTCGATCTGCTCTTGGTCATGTGTCTAAAGGTAGAAGACATTTAAAAACTGACTGCCAGCTAAATGGGGCATTGCAGAGAAGTTAATAGGAGGAACGCAGTATTTTATGTTCTCTCCTCTCCCTCAACATTAATGGAAGAGCTGGAGTGATGCATTTTCCTGTTTGTCAGCTGTAGAATAATGATAATGACTCCCTCTGCCCATGAGTTACGTCCGCCAGAGGTGGTCGTTTCTTAGTGAAGATGAAATATCCAGTTTCCTCAGCTCTACGATGGATTTCGGTTTTCTTTTGTATCATATTTGGTAGGAAATCATCTGTTTCTTTTAAAGGAAAACTCTTGGGTGAGAAAGGGTAAATGGGGAAAGAAATGAGAGGAAATCACGTGGAAAAAAAACTTGAAGTCTTTTCAACAGGGTGTCAGACATTTAGAATTTTATCAGAGATTTCTTATTCTTCTAAGTCTCTTAATCTGGAAATGTTTTGCAGCCAAATTTGCCATGTACTGATAACGTAGCATTTGACATGGAAAGGCTCACCAGAACCCAGGCCGTTAACCGAAGATCAGCCCTAGGTGACCTCGCCAGCGACAACTCCCTTGGCCTCGAGCCACTTCGAACTTCGGGGATCTCGCCTCTTCCTCAGGACGGAGAGCTCACTCCCAGAACGGGAGAGATCAACATTGCAGTAACAAGTAAGTGGGGCCCTGTACCCAGGCACAGGGCAGGTTTGCCGCTGTGCTTGGTGCGTGTTGACTGCTCCAGAGGGCAGTGGAGGCAGTCACCTGGGCCAGGGAGTTAGTCTGTTACAGAGGAAGCGACAGGTACCTCTGTGAAAACAGGAATTTGGGGAGACAAAACTTTCCTGATAGTAAGGAGCTTGTTTGTGTATAATATATAGGCTGTCTGATAAGTTGTCTCAGTAGCCGTGTAGACACCTGCTTTGATGGCCACCTTGCAGACGGGTGTCTTAAAGGGTCCCACTGGGATGCGACGTGGGGCGTTGTGTTGTGTGACCAGCCGCGAGCACCAGGCTACAGGCAGCTTAGCGGAAACCCAGGGCAGAATCTGAACACACTCCCTAGAGTTGCTTCCTCTGGGGAGACTCGAGACACCCTGTTGCTGCTCACTTCACTTTACGGAGTCTGGGGTCTTGGCACTTCCATCTTTGGGGTCACTGGACGCGGGGCGGGAGAAAAGCCAAAGCGTGATGTGCCTTTAACAAATGCTCTCGCTAGTCTGGGGCATCTGGATGGGTGAAGTGTTGCCGAGGAGAGCCGCGGTGCTCGGAGGTGCTCGGAGTGTGTCGATGGCCGCCCGGGGACAATGTGCGTGGGCCGGCAGGCGTGTGTGTGGGCGGTCACCCTGTCACAAGCCAGCTGTCCCCCTCAGCTCCATCCTCCACGTGGTCTCTCCATCTAACCGCCTCTCTCCAGCCTCCCTGTCAGCACTGTGGTGCTGCCTTGCCCAGTGCGTGCTGTCGCTTGCTGTAGCTTCCAGCCCTCAGCCCCTGCGAGGCCGCGGCGCAGAGAAAGCTGTCATGAAAGATTTTTCCTCCACGTAGGAAGGCTTGAGTGGGGTATTCAATTGAAGTACACATGTTTTCCACCGACCAGAGATTAGTAGTCGTCAGCAGTTTCCCAGGTTTTGTTCTATCATTTGTATGAACTCGAGGAGACTTCATTCAGTTATAAAACAAGGAAAAGTATTCTTCATTGCAGTTTGACTCATTTCCTGCCACATCCAGGCGAGTTGTTTTAATTAAAGCTTTTCATATTTTCAGGTTTTAGGGTGTAGATTTTTTAAACGCTGATCCAGTAGCAATAAAGGAAACAGGTTATTTAGCAGTGACTTTTTGTCAGCTCTTCATTGATCGACATTTATTGAGCACCTACTACTACATTCAGTTCTGATCCCATTATAGTCTTTGCAGAAACGTCCTTTCAAAATATTACATTTTGATGATTAAAAAAAAAAAGTCACTTCCTGTATCAAATGAATCACCTCTAGTGGAATTGACGCATGTTAATAAATACATTCGTGTGGTTAAATTAACCCAAAGCAACCTCTCCTTTTCCCTCACAGCCCTGTAGTGTCTCAGCAAGCACAGCACATTTGCCCGGCATCCCCTGTGCAAGGCACTGTGCTAAGTACCCAGCGGGGTGGGCAGAGCTGACCGGGGCCGGCTGCTGCTGGAGTACCCCGGGGCCCACTGGGGATCGTCACGGTAGTGCTTGCTTCTTTTTGGTTGCTAGTTTTTATAGCCAAAATGCCATACATCTGCGGATGCTCTGTTCAGAATGCAGAAACACACATGTAACTGCAGTTCTAAATCTTAGTCTGCTTATCACGTCTGAAGGTCTCAGAGAAGAAAAAAAGGTAAAGAACGAACACTGGGTTAAGCTTCTTGATCCTGATGACCAGTCAGCTCTTAACTTTTTTTAAATGCCAGGGTACATTTTTCCTAACTTAAAATCTTTGCAGGGTAGAAATGGTGAATGTGGTATGGGCTCTGAAATGTTCATTTTTTACTTAAAACCTTAAGAAATTCACTGCACTCGTGAGGAATCTGTAATCCAGGAAGCGGTGGCGGCACTGTTACCAAAAAAGAAAGAGTTTGCTAAGCATTTTAATAATATGAATCAAAATGCTCATAGAACAAACTCATCGTCCTGGAATCCTGAAGAACAGTTCTCAACCTTTTGACGATCACTACCTGTAAAATCCAATGAAAATATAATCACCTTTTTCTAGAAAAGTTCCCAGGCACACATAGTTTTGCGTATTTGTGGGATTCATGGAAACCAGATTGAGAAACACTCATGTGACCCATGGCTTTTGCAGATAAACATCTGGTATTCCAAGTATAAATGTCTTCCCGCCGCCTCACTACAGATACAGAGGGGGCTTCGCCGTGTACCACTTGGTTAAACCAGCCCAAGGTAGCATATACTCTGGGAAATATTTTCTAGGTAAGCCTTTTTAGGAAGCCAGGATTGGTTCACAGGTTATTTTTGAGGTTCTCAATAAATAGTGTTTTGGGAAGTTACCTTGACAGTTCAGACTTTGAAAAGAAGGGAAAATACTAACAACGACATCCTGGATTGAGAGAGAGACTAGCTGAAAACCCTAGAGTTCTGGGTACCAGAGCTTTTCAACCCTCTGATGGGCCAGGTACCTGGTGAATCACCTGCTTGACATGGCCAGAGCCGCTCCCGCCGGTGGGGGCGTGAAGGGTAGTCCTTTCCAAGGGACACCAATCAGATGTCCTTTTTGCATAAAGACTGTAAGTAAACCCACGCCTAGGACAAAAGAAAGTAGACTGGAAGGCCAGCCTCCGGACTGCGTGGAGTGCCCTCAAGACCTTTGGGACCCCTACTCCGTATTTATAAGTCTTCCTCTAAGAATGAGTGACACAACTGCGCAGAAGCGACAGAAGGAAGAAGGAAAGGTTATAGAAGTGTGGCAGGTCTACTGTACCGTCATCTAAAGCAGCGATTTTAAAAAATCTCTGCCCACGTGCAACTTGATAGACCTCTTTCTCCTGCGAGCTTTTTGGTGGCCACGCTCCTCACAGACCTCAGGACCTTAACTGGAAGAAATGTTTGGGCCGCGCTTTCCTTTCTCCCTTGCAGCTCTCACCACTACTTCCACTAACCTTCTCCAGTTAGTAGCTCTCTGGCAAACCTCCTCCTGCTTCACCTCCTTGGGCCAGTCTTGGCTTACACCTCCGTTGACGTCTGCTTCGTTGCATTTGAGGGAAATGTTGACATCAAGTTGACTTAAGTCTTCTCCCCAGAGTGATTTCCTCCCTTTCCTTTGTCAACAGAAGAATGGTTTATTATTGCCAGTTTTGGCCTCCTCAGTGCCCTCACACTCTGCTACATGATCATCAGAGCCACAGCTAGCTTGAATGCTAATGAGTAAGTAACCAGTTATTTTTTGGATTGCATGTACCAGATGACCCCAAGAAAACTTGTAGAGTAATTTTCATAAAGATGGTGAAAATTGGCTTCCACCGGTTTCGTACTGATCCTGATGAGATCATACCTAGCAAAGTAATGCATTTCGTGACCATGTATTTGTAGTCAGTACACAGATTGGGAGGTCACCTTGCTCAGCAACAGCAGCTCCCTTGAGAAAAGATTTAGGGGCTTCCGTTAGCCACAGGCTTAGAGCACAGCAGCCGTGTGACGCAGACACCAAGGGCGCCCGTACAGTCACGGTGTAAAGAAGGTCCATGTCCTGATCATTGGCAGGAATAGTCCCACTTTCCTGTGTGCCCACCAAACTTTACCCGGATCCTTACGTACTTAGCTTTTGACGGAACACGGGCACCCTGGCCTGGGGCAAGGGACAGTGACTTGGATGTGTAGCCCGCAAGAAAGAAGCAATCAGCAAGACCCGCGTTTCCAGAGATTGGGAAGACTGTCAGGGACTGTTGGGAAAACAAAATAAGTGTCATCTGTATTTCTGTGGGGCAAAATGAGGACCAGAGGGCAGGGGACAGGAAGGCGAATTTCATCTCAGTGAAAGGAAGACCATCTGTCAGCGAGGCCCCCCCACCAGAGACAGTTTGCCGTGGGGAGAGCTCAGGACGAGGCGTGCAGGCGGATGCCATGCATTACTCTCAGGGCTGCTGGAGGTCAGAGGTTTTCCAGAGTAGGCGAAACTGGGCTAGCTGGCTGTTGAGGTCCATTTTGATCCAGTGATTTTCCAGGAGTTGCTTTCCACAGGGCTAAGGTACAGGAAAGGTTTTTGGTTTTGTTTTGTTTTAAATTTAAGGTGTTTACTGTAAGGTGTTATTTAGTCCTTTCTTTTACCAGTATTCACGAAAACTCATTGGAGATAAAAGTGTCCCTAGGACGCAGCCCGGATATGGACCTCATGTGGCACAGGGGGAATTCATGTGCTCTCCACACACACTTATGTCCTGGTGTCTTAACAGATGAATAATAACCGGCCAAGCCCATGTAATTGATTTAATTGAACACTCATTGTCCAGCTGTGAAAACAAATGGGCAAGTAACCTCCAGTTACAGTGACGTGATTTTATCATCTCTAACCTGACCTGTTGGCTCGATACTTTTAAGAAGTGCCCATGGGCACACCTGGCCCCTAGCAAACATTGGGAGGATGCCCGGGTCAGTTGGCATCCTTCAGCCTGCAGGGGAGTAGTCTTGGCTGCTCATCCAACAGGTCAACCTGGCTGATGCAGGTTGACTTCAACATAACACAGTGTTCATTGCTCAGACCCTAGAATCAGACGTAACCTGGATTTGACTCTCTGTTCTTCCATTTTCTGCTTGGGAGACCTGGGCAGCTGTATTTCTCGGGAAGTTCATTTTAGTTATGCAGAAAACAAGAATAATGGCAGGCATACATCATAGGTTGTACGAAGTAACATATAAAGTGCTTAGCACAGTGCCTGGTACATTTTAAGTGCTCAATAAATGTTAGCTGAACAGTTCCACTGAGAATCTTCCAAAGTCCTGTGAACAAGATGACCATCTATCTGCCTCTATCATTTGGCAAATGAATTTCATTTTCTTCCATGAAATAATACAGAATCACCGGAGCTCTGTGAGTCCTGTGATTCAGACCTCAGTTTGGAGGGAAATACTGATTTCACCTGCAGTCACCTCTTTTGCTTATTCTCACAGTGACCCCATCAGACTAGATGATGGTGTGAGTCCACTCCTTAAACCTCACAAATGAGTGAAAGCCAATTACAGCGAATAGAGACACTCTGGGCACTTGTAGAGAACTGTTAAGTGATCTAATGGTTGTCTCGCTGCCACCCAGGATCTGCCAGATGCTCAGGTCATGCGTCAGGTGTTTTAGAGAAGGTTCAGTAGACATGTTACCTTTTAGAAATCAAAGTCCCTGGGCCATAATATTTCGATTCCACGCATAGATGCCTGCATGACTCAGTCCAAGCACTAATCTTAGATCCATGTCTTAAGCCAACCCTTCTCGCATTAGCCTGTGTAGAGGGTTGATACAGCAGTTGTTCATCCAGATATTATTTCTGTGCCTTCAGTCAGAACTACTCTGAAGGACAATTTTCATGATCCCATGGAGAGAGAGAGAGGGAAAGAGTGTGTGTGTATGTGTGTGTGTAGGGGGGGGACATATGGATGCATGAAAGAATGGTCACCAAAATATGAATGGTTATTGTCTTAATTTAGTAGCATTTTGGGTGATGTTTTTCTCTCCTATTGTGCTTTTATGTGTTGACTTTTTTATATAACATGAATTACTTAAGATTTTAAAGGCCATTTCAATTGTGGAGGATAAAAGAAAGACAGTCACTCTTACTCAGTGTCTCCTTCCCAAGAATGTTGATGAAAAATCCCTAGGTGATTTTAATTCCAGAGAAAAGTCTATATTAGCAAATAAATCTATAATTATTCTTCATTAATGAATTCTTTAAAATCCATCTTACCTTCCTTTTTGCCTTTACCAAAAACTTACAGCCAAAATGAGATTGCCTTTTTAATCGAATTGCTGTTTTAATTTCCTAGGTGACCTCATCCATGTGTGAGATAGTCTGTAGGAGTAGAATTCCATTTTCTCCCATGTGAGCGATTTATCTTGGAAGTTGCTAGTAAAATTCACCTCTCCACATATTACCTTCTATCCTAGTTTACTCTTCTGACAGCGTTGCACTGAACTTGTGTATTGTGATTGCAGCAAGACCTTGGCCCAGTCTAGTCACTGGTGAAAGCCTGTGGGCAAGAGGCAGCAGTGCGGGCCACGTGTAAGGGCAGGCCCGGGGAGGCCGGGCGCATGCAGCGCTGCCCCGCTGGGGGTCAAGGCACGGCCTCCTCCCTCACCACGCTCTGCACCTGCACCATTACCCAGGGCTTGACACTGTTGTCTGATCTGAAGTCAGACCCCTTCTGGTGTGTCGAAACACTATTGAAATACTCAACCGTGACTAATTGTGCTTTAATTTTTTTAACACAGCAAACAAATCTAGTGAATGTTGAGGCTTGGCAGGTATAAACAGGATAGTAGTCAAAGAAGCAAATACACGCAAGGTAAATACATTTATCATCTTCTCATACCCCGTTTCTTAGTACTTAAGTAGGCAAGGTTAGTGAACTTCAGTTCCCAAAGGAGGTTTGCTGCTCTACTTCAGTATTCAGAAAACCTCGTTAGATCCCAGCGTTTACCAGCTTACATTTGTATCAGTCCGTTTTTCCCTCAACATAAGAAAAGTAAATGTTTTCATTGTTGTTTTTATTTGAGGCACAAGTTGTGAGATAAGGAAGGTGATGTAGGCGGATTTTGAGCTGAATGGGAGGTTGGGTTAGGTATCCTCCACCGTGTCCTTTCTCAGTTCCTCGGTTCTGATTCCTAGAACTCGTGCCCGAGGATCTGCCCAGGAGTAAAACCCAGACATTCAGGATCCAAAATTATCTCAGCAGAAGGAAGTGAACCTGACATGGTTCATGTACAATAACTAGAACAAGTGTAAAATCCTGTAGCATAACCCGAGGCCAGGAAACCCTAACTCTGCCCCAGGTCAGAGTCGTCCCCACCAGTATGCCCGGGGAGCCGGCTCCCCGGGCATACTGGCGCAGTGATAGAAACTTATAAGCCCCATCAAAGGAATGATGTTTCTGTTTTACTCTCTTTTCAGTATTTCTGAATTGTTCTGCTCACACTCTTCTTTTTTTTTTTAATTTTATTTATTTATTTGAGAGAGAGAAAGAGAGAGAGCACGAGAGGGAAGAGAGTCAGAGGGAGAAGCAGACTCCCCGCCGAGCAGGGAGCCCGATGCGGGACCCGATCGCGGGACTCCGGGATCATGACCCAAGCCGAAGGCAGTCGCCCAACCAACTGAGCCACCCAGGCGCCCCTCTTCTTCTTTTTTTTTTTTTTTAAGGTTTATTTATTTTGGAGAGAGAGAGCATGAGAGCAAGCAGGGAGGGGTAGAAGGAGAGGGGGAGAGAGAGAATTTCAAACACCCTGACACAGGACTCGATCTCACGACCCTGAGATCATGACCTGAGCTGAAACCAAGAGTCGATGCTCAACCAACTGAGCCCCCCAGGCGCCCCATTCTGCTCACACTCTTAAGAGTAACATTGACATATTTCAATATAAAAGGATCTGAAAACATCATCATTTCGATGCCTTGGGGATGCTTGGCTTAGAAGAGAGGAGTTGAGGGTGATGTGAGCAATGTCTCCAAGTATCTGAAGGGCTCCCAGAGATGATGAGAACAGCTACTGTTCACTGAGCGCCTCCCAACAACTTACTCCTGGGTGCAACCCCGTGTGACACTCATCAGAGCCCCGTGGGGACTAGCCAGTGCATACAGAGGGTGGTCTTATTGCGTAGTTCGGGAGCTCTGCAGGCATCCACAGGGAGGTAGAGCACCACTGAAGACAAAGAAGACCTTTGTGCCGGTCAGCAGTGTCCATCCATGACATGGGATGCCTTGAAAGCTAGCGAGTTGCCAGGACCTGCTTATGCAGACAGAAACGAGCCACGAGGCTGGCGCTGTTTGGAGGCAAACCCTGCGGCCAGTGGAGGTCAGAGGCTCCTTCCAGTTCTGAGAGCTCCTCTTCGCTTGTCTGTCCTAAATGGTCCTTTCCTAGGACGGGAGGCATTGCGTGCCCTGGCAGCTGGCTGCCTCTTTTAGAACCTTAAGTATCAAAACCGGTGATTTTTAAGTTTTTTTTTTTTTTAACCACCTGCCGCTGTAAGAACTGCATTGTACATTGGGACACGTATCCACACGTGTGTAACTGAAACAGGCTTCACAGATCTTTTCCTGAGCATGTGCAGTATCCGCTGATCTCTTCTCTGCACCTTGTTGTTAAGGCTGGTCAGGAACTCCACATTGCTCTCACGGCCCAGCAATAGGCGGTTTAAGAAACGCAGATCTGAAGCATTCTGAATTTCTGGTTCTCAGCCGAGTACCTCTGGCTTCCCCCAGCACCCATCGTGGATTGTTTTTCCGAGGCAGCCTTCCTTGTAGTGATGCCCGCGAAGCTTTGAACTTGCCCCTGGTTTAATCATGAATCCACTTCCTTCTGTTAGTATTGACTTCTCCTTTTAGCCACTCCGAGCATAAGATACAGAAAATAACCCGGGGCCCAGAGGGGCTGGGGGACCCCCTGAGAAATGCCATAGGAAGAGGGGCATTGTGTTCAAACCCGTGTCTCTGGATCCACCTCTTTACTCTGCTTGTCTGTGACTACTCCAGAGAGACATTTAAGGGTTCCACATCACATGGTGGAAGAGGGCAGTTGGCTTTCTGGAAACGTGATGACACGAAGATTAAAGGCAGTGGGGACCCCTGATGGGACTTCTGCCCTGTCTCCGTCGCAGTCTTTCTGGTGTTCACAAGTACCTTTAATCTTGTGGCTGCCATAGTTTATAGTTCCTTAGAAGAGCAGCCAAACAAAGTAAGTGTAAAAATCTCGACGCACCCACTGGAAGTTCTGACCTCTAATATCTGATTTCTCTGAGGAAGTTTTATAAAATCAGTGCATTATCTTTTAGCAGGGCTGAAGGAACAACCCGGTCCAGAGCTCTGTGTGAAGTTGTGAATGGCCTTCCTGTCAGGCCTCTCGTTCATTCAGTGTCCCCAGCAGCCCCCCAGGCGCCAGGCCTTGCCCTGCAGGGTGCTGTGGGGAAGGGGCGGCTGTGCGCAGGGCCCAGGCTTACGGCACCCTCCGAAGGGACGGGAGAGCCTGCGGACTGAGCACAGGCTCGGGGTCACACAGATGCCGCGGCACTGCCGCTCTGGTCCCGGGGGGTCAACAGAGGCTTCCTGGAGGGGGTAACTCAGGAACCAGGCCGGGCATTAGGGCACAAAGAGGAAAAGGCAGAGCAGGTTCAGGGAGTTGGGGTTTGATGTGTCGGCTGGAAGCGGTGGTTGTCGGTAGACCGACTGCAGAATTTGGACTGGGTTCTTGCAAACAGCCGGTAGCGCGTAAGGCTTTTCAGCAAAAAAGAGGATTCCTGTCGCGAGAAGTTGCTCTGGCTGGTAGAGACCGGAGGCAGGAAGATGGGTTAGGTGGAAATGTGGAGCTGAAGGAGGAAGTCAGGGGGAGGAGAGGAAATCAAGAGGTGCTGGAGAGTTGTGCGATGACCAGAGATGAAGCAGTCAGGAACATGGATCTGGAAGTGAGCAGAGAGAAGAGAAAGCACCACTGAAGACATGAATTGGGAACCAAGGAAGTGAACCAGCTGTGCAAGGCTTCGGGGAGCTAGGGCAGTCCCATAGAGCCAGGCTTGGGGTGGGGGGTGGGCAGCGTTAGCCCAAGACCCCAGGCTCCGTCAGGCTCCTGATTGAGGGACATGCGCGCATGCAGTCTGGGCTAGTCCGGTGAGAGAGCCGCACCCCCTGGAAGTCTGTACTCTGCAAAGTTCATTCCACAGTAAAGACTGACATTCTTGTTTGAGGCATAAAGGGGGATCCTATTGCAAAGACACAGATGTAGATTTCAGGACACACAGCCCTGAGAACATGCGTTCAAACCAAGAAAAGTTGTAAATTGTATGATAACTGTCCCTGCATTGTTAAACAAGATGCTGTTAGCCTGGGCTTTTCCCTGCAGTCCTTTTGGGAGGACACACACACCTGTAAGGTCACTGAGCCACTTGACCACAGATGTGAAGCTGCTGAGTTCAGGAAAATGCCAGGGGCTGACTAGCTTTACCCACTGGGGCTAGGAAGTAGTTGGGGACAGGCCCCAGGCCACCCTTGAGTGAGGATCACTTTCTCTGTTATTTTAAAATACTGGCAACTCCCCTTTAACTAATTCTTGACCTCTGTCTTTTTTTTTTTTTTTCCTTTCATTCCACAGGGTAGAGTGGTTTTGAAGAAGAAAAAAAAACTGCTTTCTGACTGATTGCCTTGAAGGAAAAAAGAACCTATTTTTGTGCATCATTTACCAATCATGCCACACAAGCGTTTATTTTTAGTACATTTTATTTTTTCATAAAATTGCTAATGCCAAAGCTTTGTATTAAAATAAATAAATAATAAAATAAAAAGACCGTGTCGTCGAGTATTCTTGACCCACTTGTGTCCAGAAGGCCGACCTGGAGATCCCATACCCAGATTTCACGTGCGTGTGTTTCGGAGACAGAATGTACTCATGAGTACCCCCCGGACAGTGACGCTGTTGGCATTTTCACCTGGGCCCCTGCTGCGCCCCAGTACGACCAGACCATGGGCACGTCCTGCGCAGTGACGCATGCCCAGGCCCTCGGTGGGGTTACTCTGTCTCACTTTCTTCAGGGTCAGCGTCCTCTGAGAATCTCTTGCTCCTTCATCAGCCCCATGGCAGCAGGGACATTTAGCCATGTGGCTCACCGCTGTGTCCCCCGTGCCTGGTAGGGTGCTTTGCACATAGTAAGTGCTCAATAAATATTGGTGGGATGAAGGAATGAGTCTAAGGGAAATTTCCCAGAATACACCCTGATTAGTAATAAGTTATATCTGTCCGAGATGGGTTTCCACCTGGTTTTAAAAAACAGCAGATTCTAAAAAGTTGAAAGAGAACAATTTGACAAGTGTAAATGAGATATTTTTTGCTGTATTGAGGAAACTTGAAATATTTTATGTTCTATTGAATTCTATGCTTGAAGGATCATCCATATGTGTGAACATTTTGAGCAAAGAATTCTCCACCTTTTACTTCAGCATCCCTGAGAGATGAGAACTTACTCCCGCTGGTAATGGGTTCACTACCACAGTCATTCTCCGATTGGTAGGGGGTTGATTTTTATCTTTTTGATTGAGATATAATTCAGATACCATAAGAATTTACCCTTGTGAAGGATAAGCCATTTCAGTGGTTTTTAGCATATTCATGAGGTCATGCAACCATCACAACTGCCTAATTCCAGAACACTTGCATCACCCCCAAAAGAAGCCCTGTACCCATGAACAGTAACCTCTCACCCCTCCCATCCCCCTCCCATCCTGGAAAGCACAGATCTGCTCTCTCTCTTTCTGGATCTACCCATTTCTGGACATTTCATAGAAATGGAATCATACAGGGGCGCCTGGGTGGCTCAGTCGTTAAGCGTCTGCCTTCGGCTCAGGTCGTGATCTCAGGGTCTTGGGATCGAGCCCCGCATCGGGCTCCCTGCTCGGTGGGAAATCTGCTTCTCCCTTTCCCTCTCCCCCTGCTTGTGTTCCCTCTCTCGCTGTGTCTCTCTCTGTCAAATAAATAAATAAAATCTTTAAAAAAAAAAAATGGAATCATACAGTATGTAGCCCTTTGCGTCTGGCTCCGTTCACGTAGGAGAACATCTTCAAGTTCTCCCATGTTGTAGCATGAATGACGTTCATTCTTTTTTGTGGCTGACTAATATTCCATCGTATGGACACATACCACATTTTGTTCGTCCACTCATCCAGTGATGGACATTCGTTGTTTCCACCTCTTGGCTGTCATGACTTATGCTGCTGTGAACATCAGTGGACAAGTTTCTGTGAATGTTGTCTTTTCTGTTCTCTTGGGTCTGTCCCTAGGAGTGGAATTGCTGGGTCATGTGGTGGCTCTGACTTGTTGAAAAACGGCCAAAGTGTTCTCCAAAGCAACTGCAGTTTCATGTTCCCACCAGCCGTGTACAAAGGTTCCAGTTTCTCCACATCCTCACTAGCACTTACTATTTTCCTTTTTAAAACCATCTCGTTGGGTGCCTGGGTGGCTCAGTTGGTTAAGCGACTGCCTTCGGCTCAGGTCATGATCCTGGAGTCCCGGGATCAAGTCCCACATCAGGCTCCCTGCTCAGCAGGGAGTCTGCTTCTCCCTCTGACCCTCTTCCCTCTTGTGCTCTCTCTCTCATTCTCTCTCTCTCAAATAAATAAATAAAATCTTTAAAAAAATAAAAATAAAACCATCTCGTTATGGTTTTGATTTGCATTTCCCTAATGACTAATGATGTTGGGCAGCTTTTCATGTGTTTGTTGGCCCCTTGAATGTCTTTAGAGAAAAGTCTATTTGAGTCCTTTGCCCATTTTTTTTATTTTTTTTATTTTTTAAAGATTTTATTTATTTATTTGAGAGAGAGAGAATGAGAGATAGAGAGCATGAGAGGGAAGAGGGTCAGAGGGAGAAGCAGACTCCCCGCTGAGCAGGGAGCCCGATGCGGGACTCGATCCCGGGACTCCAGGATCATGACCTGAGCCGAAGGCAGTCGCTTAACCAACTGAGCCACCCAGGCGCCCTGCCCATTTTTTTTAATTGGGTGGTCTTTTTGTTGTGGATTTGTAAGCATTCTTTATATATTCTAGATTACTAGGCCCTTATCATATATATAATTTACAAATATTTTATCCTATTCTTTAAGTTGTTCACTTTCTTGATAGTACCTTTCAAAATACAAGTTTTTAATTTTGATGGAGCCCAGTTTATCTGTTTTTTTCCTTTGGTTTGTGTTTTAGAGATCATATCTGAGAAACCATTGCCTAATTCAAGGTGACAAAACCTTCCAACAGTTTTATCATTTAGTTCGTATATTTGAGTCTTTGACCCATTTTGAGTTAATATATGTATATGGTGTGAGGTAGGGATCCACCTTCATTCTTTGCATTTGTTCCAGTACCATTCGTTGGACAAATTATTCTTTCCCCACATTGAGTGGTCTTGATACCCTTGTCAAAACTCAGTTAAGCATAATATATGAGTTTACTTCTGGACTCTCAATTCTGTTCCACTGGTCTCCCTTTCTGTCTTTGTGCCAGTATCACATGATACTGATTACTGTTGCTTTGTAGAAAGTTTTAAAATTGGGAAGTGTGACTCCTCCCAACTTTGTTCTTTTTCAGGAGTGTTCTGGCTATCCAGGATGCATTGCGTTTCCATATAAATTTTAAGCTCAGTTTTTCAGTCTATGCAAAAATGCCAGCTGGCATTTTGACAGGGATTATGCTGAATCTGCAGATCATTTTAGGTAGTAGTGTCATCTTAATATTAAGTCTTTTGGGGTGCCTGGGTGGCTCGGTTAAGCGTCCATCTCTTGTTCTCATCTCTGGTCTTGATCTCAGGGTTGTAAGTTCAAGTCCATGCTGGATGTGGAGCCTACTTAAAAAAAATTTTTTTTAGGGGTGCCTGGGTGGCTCAGTTGTCAAGCGTCTGCCTTCGGCTCAGGTCATGATCCCAGAGTCCTGGGATCAAGCCCCGCATCGGGCTCCCTGCTCCTCGGGAAGCCTGCTTCTCCCTCTCCCACCTCCCCTGCTTGTATTTCCTCTCTTGCTGTGTCTCTGTCTGTCAAATAAATAAATAAAATATTTTTAAAAAGTTAAAATAAAATAAATTTTTTTAATTAAAAATAGATATATTGGGGCGCCTGGGTGGCTCGGTCAGTTAAGCAGCTGACTTCGGCTCAGGTCATGATCTCAGGATCCTGGGATCGAACCCCGCTTCAGGCTACCTGCTCAGCAGGGAGTCTGCTTCTCCCTCTCCCTCCCCCTTTCTGCCCCTCACCCCACTCATGCTCTCTCTCTCTGTCTCTCTTTCAAATAAATAAAATCTTTTAAAAATAGTAAGTCTTTCAATCCATGAACAAAGGATGTCTTCCTCCATTTATTTAATTTCTGTAGAAATATGACTGATTTTTGTACATTGATCTTTTATTCTTACAGCCTTGCTGAACTCATTTACTAAGTCTAATAGTCTTTTAGTGGATGCCTTAAAATTTTCTATATAAAAGGTCATCTCTTCATCAAATAGAGATAGTTTTAACTTCTCTCTTTCCAATCTGGATGGCTTTTATTTTCTTGCTTAATTGGCCCTGGCTAGACCCTCCATTAGTAGAATGTTCAAGAGAAGTAGGAGCAAATAGATATCCATGTGTTGTTTCTGATCTTGCGGGGAAGCTTTCAGACTATGATGTTAGCTGTGGGATTTTCATAGATGCCCTTTATCAGACTGAAAAAGTTCCCTTCTATTTCTAGCTTACTGAGTGTTTTTATCATGGGTTTTGGATTTTGTCAAATGCTTTTTCTATGCCTATTGTGATGATTGTGTGGGTTTTGTCCTGTATCATATTAATATGGTATATCGTATTGATCAATTTTCATGTGTTGAACCAACCTTGCATTCCTGGGATAAATCCCAATTGGTCACAATGGGATTATGTTTTTATATGTTGCAGATTTAAGGCTGCTGGTATTTGCTGAGGATTTATGCATCTATACTCATAATAGGTATTGGCCTGTAATTTTCTTGTGATGTCTCTCTGGCTTTAGTATCCGTGTAATGCTGGCCTCATATAATGAATTATGAAGTAATTCCCCCTCTGCTGTATTTTGAAAAAGTTTGAGGATTGGTGTTAATTCTATATAATTATTTGGTAGAATTCACTAGTGAAACCATCTGGCCCTGGACTTTTCCCTGTGGGAAGGTTTTTGATTGCTGACTCTCTCTCTCTCTTTACCAGTTATAGGTCTATTTATATTTTCTATTACTAATTAAGTCAGTTTCTATAGTTTTATCTTGGTAGTAATTTGTCCATTTCATCAAGGTTGTCTCACTCATTGGCATACAACTGTCTGTAAGATTCCCTTATAATCTTTTTATTCCTGCAATGTTGGTAGTAATGTCCCCTCTTTCATTCCTGATTTTAGTAACTTGAGTCTTCTTTTTTACCTAGTCAATCTAGCTAAAGATTTGTAAATGTTGACCTTTTCAAAGAACTAACTTTTGGTTTCATTGATTTGCCTATTGTTCTATTCTCTATTTCATTAATTTTTGCTCAGATCTTTGTTATTTTCTTCCTCTGCTAGCTTTGGGTCTATTTTTTTATTTTTATTTTTATTTTTTCTTAAAGTAGAAAGTTAGGTTATTAATTTCAGGTCTTTCTTACAAG